ACATTTCATAAACTACATCTGTAATAAGATGCAGCAACGTGCCTGCTTCTCTGACACTTCCCTGCTTTCCACTTGCAGGCCTGCCCAACCCCCTCTGCTGCAGGTCACTAATTCACAAAAGTGAACTAAAAAACTGTGACAGCTTTGCCAACAGCATTTCTGTTTTCAGTCCTAATTCAGCAGGACTCACAGGACAGAAATAACCTTATCTTCAGGACTATATATAGCTGTCCCTTTGCAGAAAGCAAATGCTGGGCACTAGGGGTATGTGTGTAGGTTAAATAGGTCTCCTGTCTTGCACAGCATCCCATGATAAATAATAAGGATTTTACTGTTCATTCTGATACAATCAGATATCAAGATGAAAGACTGAATTTATGACAAAGAACTCCATCATCACATGCATGGTATAAATTCTGATGGTCAGAACACATTTATAACATTATTGATCTGCCTTTTGGTAGCAAATGCTGTAAATTACTAATCCTCCCTAAGAATGAGACAAATACTCAAACACTGAAATGTCACCATCACCTATTTTCTTAATAAATCTTCTTTCAGTTTAATGTTCAACATCAAGCACCATATTGTTTAGATAATTTAGAGCACACATCTGAAACATAACAAAAGATTCTATTGCACTGAAGTTGTAAAATTAGGTGTAGTAAATACCTTTACCTCTTCTAAATCTTCAAAACTTACAGTAGGTTTCCCAGCCTTGTTTGGGCTGAGTAAGCATTACAAGTTTTTTGGGCTCATATACAGGGTTTAGAGAACCAACAACAGAAACTCTATGGAGTTGCACCTCTTGCAGATCTTTAACATGGATCTGACAATCATTCATGTTGAAATCTTTGAAATTTTACCAGTGACAACAGAAATACAATCAGAACAACTCTAGGGATAATCTCAAAACCACAATACACTTATTTCTTGAATTATGAAATTTATGAATAGCCTTTCACCAGGAATGGGTCTGCTCTGTTTCTTTGCACTCTCCTTGAAGGCCCAGAAACACAAAAACCCTTCAGAACCTTGGACAACTGAAGCTTTTTGTTAGAAACAGTTTGTTTTGCATGTGTACCAGATATTCTCCCTTGGGTACCTATCCCACTTTGACACTATAGCATGCAGCTGATTTGAGGCAGGATTTTTACTACAACTACTCAAAAGAAACTTGAAGATAACTGTATTCATTGTATATGTCCATTCCTCTGTATTAATCCAAATGTTTCATGCAACGTTCCAAAGTGGCAGAGATCTTTAGTCAGGTACTTTAATTCAGTATTTCAAGTTCATCTGCAGACAGATTCTGAGAGTACATCAATGAATGAAATGCAAAAATGTACAGATTTGGTGATAACCTTACACATCCCAGTCTGTATCTTTTTGACATTTGGAAATCTCTGCCTTCCCAGACACTGTGAAATTAATAAGTTATGTCAAATGCACATCATGTTCTCAGTAAAAGAAATGTAAAATATTCTTTATGTAACATGAACAGAATGTCACTAAACAATTGCTTAAATTGCGAAAAAACTTTATCTGCATTCAGAGAAGTTAAATATAAATGGACCACTTAAAACCTATATAATCTAGATGATCTATCAAGTGAATAACTCAAAGTAGATTCATCAACATGATATTCAGCTTGCTAAGCTGTGTTTAAATTAAGTACAAAAAAGTGAGTTTATCAGCACAAAAAATTATCTTGGACTGTATTTGCAATGTCATTGCTAAAAGTTACATTCTGATGATAAATATGGCCATAAATCCTTAAGTTCACATTTTGACTTTATTACTTCCTGAATTTCTTAATTCTTTAATCCCCTCCAGCTCAAGAATGACTAATTAATTCAAAGAACCATAACAGCTCATCATTGGTTAAATAAATTTAGAAGGAAAATGGCTGTCTCTGGAGATACCACTACTAATTTTAATTAAAATTACCATTTTTTGATGTAATGTAAATAAAAGTTATTGCATTCTTCTGCTACAAGAACATATTAACTCTACTGTTTATCCCTCAAATCAGTCAAGACAAGAAAATTATTTGCCACTGCCGTGGTAGTTTACATGGTCTTACAGGTATAAGTCCTATTGATACATAGATAAAATAAAGGTAATTACTCCTCACATGATGACTGGAGAGCCAAATTTTCATACACAATCACAGCAGTTTAGAAGAGGACACATACATAGAACTTTACTGACCTTATATCAATAAAGTATATATGTGCTGCCTGTATCTTAGTAGACAACAAATACAAAATTAGGCTGTTGCCAGAAATGAGAGCTGAAATTGTGTCTTCTCTGTATTTTTTAAAAACAAAAGATCTAACTCAGATTCCCTGTCTTCATTGTAAAAATTCTTACGGGAACAACACGTTACAGTCTTCATCTCAAGTCAAGGTCAACAGAGCTGGGAATTGAAACAGATTCACCAAGCTAAAAACCATCTTCACACTCTCAGTTCAGATTTTGTAAACATTGCATCTGAGTAAAATGCTGCTGCAAAATCTTAATCTCTTGAGGTAATAGTATCATAACTAAAAATATAGATTTCATTCCTGAAAAATATATGATCACGATTTTAGCAGCATAAAGATTTACTAACAATGAAACTTCCAGCTCAAGAATGTTGTAAATCACTGGAATATGTTAGAGATCACTTAGAAAAAAATCCCTCTCGAGACAACGGCATTTCAAGGGATGGCAAAATGGGGTGAAAAAAAACTACAGTGACCAGGTTTGGCAATCTTAGCATGAACAAAATTATTGCATAAACCAAACAGAAATCAAAAGCTTAGCCAAAGCTACATGCTCGGTTTTGGTCAATACAGAGATCTGGTCTGCAACTTGAACAGATAAGCTTGTTATGCAAATGACGTTAGCATCAAGGAGGAGGTAGATAATGAAATCATTCAAAAGCTAACCACTCATCACAAGGGTGACAGAAACATCAGGCAAGGTCCTAACACATGGACAAAAGGCACTATGGAATTTATACAATCACTGCTTTTAATTTATCATAACTAGGCTGTCACAAGGCCGGCATCAACAAATGCATAACTAATGCATATAAATGAGCCAATTATCAGTAATGGCTAAAAGGTTTGCAGTTGTATGATCCAATGTTTCATTATCTAAATTTTTCTAGAAAGTCCACTAATGTAAATCTAAGCCTCCATAAAAACATCCTGTAACCTCTGTATAGTAAGAACTTTACTAACACATGCCCAAGAATAAAACATTGTCAGAGAGAATTCAATTTCAGTAGTCTCCTAAAGGCAGCTATGGCACAGGGTATTTATTACAATTGTTGCATTTCTCCATAGCAAGAGAACCATGTATGAGTATATTTCCTTACTTCACCATGCACATCACGGTAAAAATGAAAAGCAAGGCTTGAGAACATGCAAAAGTTGATGAGGAAGTAATTAAGCAAAACTAAATAATAACCCATATGATTAATAAGATACAATTTCAATATATAAAAACCTCAAAGGACAAGATTAAAAACAAGTTTTGCCACAAAGTATTAACATCTGACTTGTTTTATGACCAGTGCATGTTGAACTAAATGACTGAACAAATGCTAAGAAATGCTTCACAGAGTTTTTTGTATTGTTCCAAGGCTCAGCAGGGACTTCTAAAAGGGAAGACACCAAGAAAGAAAAACTTACATAACAATGCTGAAGGTTAATGCACAATGTTCCTGACACAGGAATGCAATCTTATTTACCAGGTGCAGTGACTTTCTAAAGCACAAGTGGAATATAATGCATTAGTGCTGGTCCGCCAGAATATAGACTACAGCCTTTAAATACAATGCAACCAATGTTTTTTTATACAGAATTAAATTTATCCACCACTTAGTGAGCCTTGTACTTAAACACTGAATCTGCCATAGATGCCAATGTAGCCTGCTGTGTAAACAAGGACATGCATTATGGAGAATCAGAACTTGGATCAACCTGCTCTAGAGGAATGTACTTCTGCTACCTACACTGAAGAGATTCTGAGTTACACTGCAGCAATAATAATAACAACATCCTTCTCTGTAGGTCAAACATTACACTGTATCCCACCTTCCTGTCTGCTTAAAGATCAGCACTGTAAATATCACCATTTTTCACAGATTACTCAATAAAATTTGCATTAGTGTTTTTATTTTCAACTTCTTCTAAAATGGAAAGACATTACTACACAACTAGTTGAAAAAGGTATCAGGTAGGGATATTGTACTCCACAAGTAATTGGATACACCAAGGAACAAAACAAATGCCCAAAATGCACATGTGCATATTTACAAACCTATCATGAAAAGTCAGTACTGGCAAGCGATGTTATAGTAGTACTCACCACATTACACAATATGGGCTGTAATTGGTTCCAATGAAATACTGAAGAATATTAAAAATCACTCATAAAAGTGGCAGTAAGATTTTTGAATGCAATGCTAGCAAGTGCTTAACCATGATTTCCTAGTGTCACTGTAAAAAAGCATATTTGCATATTTTTGTTTGATGACAGCTGCATTCATCATGCTCTCCATACTATTGGTGCTCAAATATATATAGTACCTATATATATATATATATATATAAAAACCTACTGAACCTTACTGAAGTGGAAAAAAGGCATTTCTTTTCCTTTTCATCTTTCAAATTCTTATTTTAAATGACCAGCAGTTATTTTCACTAATCGTTTTTTTCCTCAACACAAAATTTCAATGGAATACTGTCAAGGAAATCAGGTATATTTTATAAATCTGTTTCAGGTCCATCAAAATCAAGAGACTCAAATGAAGAAAATTACATAAGAAGATTAAACTGTGCTGTAAGGCTTTTGAAAAGTGAAGCATGGTCTAGTGTTATGAAAAGAAAACTGTAGTTAAAAAACCTGAAAAAGCAGTAACTCCATAAGAAAATTCTGTTTTCAGATTGGCACACATGGGTCTTGCTGAATAAGCTGTTTTAAAAGGAAAAAAAACTCACTGTGAAATGAAATGGTTGAATCCTCTGCACCATTTTTCAGGATGTAGCAAAGTAGGTGGAGGGTTTCTGAAAAACAAAGATTTGAATTTTAAAATGTTAATATTATCTCACAGATCAAAGATGCTCCTGGTTCCAGCAGGGAGAAAATGATACTTGAGAAAGTAACAGTTAAATTGTCTATGTGATGCCTTGAGATGCATGTTGGTTTTATCGTGCTGTTGCTTATTCACTGGCAGCTCTCTTTTCTTGTCCTTCTCCTTTTATGTCAATACCTTTGAAGCTGGTAGTCAGTACAGCTCACAATGTACTTCCCAACCTGTCCCTTTCAATTCAGCCTGACTGAAAATGCAGTATTAACCTAGACATCAAACTACTGTAACCCTTTGCCCAAGATCACTTATTCTGATCAAAACTTTTAAAGTATGGATAACAATGAGCTGTAGGATTTTCAGTCGGGTTTCAATCTGTATTCAGTTTGGATGACACTGTAAACTCCAGAACTGTTAAAATAGATGCTATTTTTAAATTGACATCTAGCAAACAGTATTTTTATATTAAATAGTAAGAGAGCCTTTGTAAAAATAATTTTTCGACTCTAATACATTCCATGGTAGTTGACATAAAATTCCTTTCCTTCCTGATTTTTACTCTTACAATTTAATTACATAAACATACAAAGCAAGACCTGCAGGTCATATTGAGTGAAGCAAATTTTAAGAGGCTCAAATTTAGGAAGACCAGCTTACAGCAAGAATTGTTCATAAAACCATATATTATATTCTACCATGTTATCCTCCAGAGGTTTCCTCTGCACCTTAAATTTTGTTAATACTGAAGCCTAATTGAACATTTTAAGATTAAACTTACAGAGGTCTTTGAAACCTTAATGATCTATCTTTTGCTGCATTTGAGGGTCACATATTACTGAACTGTCAGGGAGAAACAATCACAGTAAGACTTCTTCTACAACAGAAACACAATAATACTGTAGATTATATAACAAATCACTTCATTTCTACTGTGGCCACATTCCACAGAATAACATTGCTTGGAAACATCTCACAAAACAAAAATGAAAACAGCATAAGCCACCTAAATTAGTGCTGATTTGCTCAATAGTCAGGAGTTTTTCATGCATATTCGTTGAAAAATTAGTTCCATTGAACAATTACTCTAAAAAATGCAAGCAAATTTGTTCAAACAAATTGCTGTGGCTTTGTAATAGATGGACCATTTTGTTCATCTCCATTTTTTCAAAACAAATTCAGCCAAAAAATTGCACTGCAACATGACAAGTTTGCTGAAATTACTATCTTATTACCTTTCTTTTTTGCTTCAGAACACTAAAGGAATTTTCTTCATGAAATAAAGAAATCCAGAATGTCTGAGATGTGTATTACTTAGCAAGTTTGTTATTAAAGAAAAAAAAGATATGATTGGGTATTTTCAATGACATTAACACTTCATGGTTGCCTCCCCTTTACCAGGCTCATATGTTTATGCACATCTGACAGAATCTGACTTTTTTACAAGTAGAAAAAAAAAAAAAAGAAGACTATTTCTAGGTGTACTTCTAAGAAAAAAATCCTGTATCAAAGAAAGGCAAACTTTAAAAACATTTTTGTCTATAATAAAAATGGTTATCAGCCCAGACATACAGACATCCCACATTTGTGACCACTGCAAACAGCTTTAAGAAACAGCCAGCTGGGGTTAGTGTATGTTTCAGTCCTCACATTAAAGGAGTGGTACTCTATCAGACATTCTGGATTCTGATGAACAACCAGCTTCTATTATGCTGTGAAGTGAAGTACAGTGTATTTCCTTTTAGAATTATACTAGCACTGTCTACTGAATATTTACAGGGAAGTTCTGAATTTCATTGTGAAGTAATTTGCTTTTTCAAAAGCTCAATTACTATTAATGAAATATGCAGTTTTGCCTTTTCTATTCACAATGTTCCAAAAGGTTTTCCAGATGGTAACAATGGTGCTGACAAAAAAGCATATGGGTTTGGAGGCTTTGTTAACAATCTCCCAAGGAACTTTCTGAAAAAAGATGCAGAGATACTTTACATTTGTTGCAGATGTTATGATGGAAACAGGTGGAATTTCATCATGGAAGAACAGATCAGCAGAGGACATGTCATTCAGGAAATTCAGTTTTACATTTGCAGGTTAATGATTAATGGAGAAGGCCATTTTTAAACCATACACAACATTTTTTATCTAAGAATTACTGAGCTACTAAGCTCTCACTGATAACTACTCTCTTTGGCTGACCCAAATCAACACAACCAAGGAAGGAAGTATGTTATCTTGATATTTTTGTATTTGTTGATAGAAGATACTATGTTATTCTTAGTGCTTTTGTAGCAAAACCATTCAACTCTGTACTTAGACAACTAAAATTTGATGCTTCAGGTAAACCGTCTGCAAAATGAAGCTGATAAACAAAGTCAGAACCTTAATTCATTAGCATCTGTAAATTACATTGGTTTCCTTTGGTGAAAAACATTAACTACAAAGTGAAAAATCAGTCAATCCTTTTCTGGCATCATGTGAATAAATGACTTCCAGAAGGAGGCACAAGAGCATCAGCTTCCTACCTTCACTTTGCCTAAGACACTAGAAAATGTTTCATGGTGATCCCAGAAAACACCATGGCACCTCCAGAGGGGCACTTCTGCAGTAAAGACTCTAAGTTCTAGGGTAATAGGAAAAGGCAGAAATGCAAAGGTAACTCTAAACTTTTTCCATAAGCACACACGGTCTTCTGCAGTTTGAAATTAATAATCCATTACGATACCTCTAATTCATATCCTGAGTCATATTTCATTAAAGAGAAAGATGAAACAACTCATTTGCATCATCAGATGCTAAACCACAGAGAAACAACATTTACCTGACCACTTCAGCTCAAGGATCAAACTAGGGCCATTTTGGATTCCAGACTGTGTTAATTCCATTATTTGGAGTTCCTTGGCTTTTGTGTACTTGCACCAGCCAACATCATTGCATTTCAATAACACCTGACTATTTCTGCAGCACTCAAAACACATTCATAGAAGAACTGAAAACCTACCTCTCATTAATTTGCTGACATAACTTAATCTAGTTTTTTAATGTAAAATTAGAACACTCTGCACGCAATCTTTCAATCATTTTTGCCACAAGCTGAAGCACAATACAGTCTTATTTTCTATCATATTTGATGGAAATTGTGAGACGTAGATAGGAATATTATTGGGAAAAGCAGCTATAATTGGGTTTGTCTTTTGAAAATGCCCTCTTTTGATGCAAGATGAGTAATCAACCATTTATTTCCCAACTTTGTCTTTTTTCCTTTAGTTCTTTCTATAATTCCTAATTAGTCACAGAACTACATGCTCTATTTCCTTACTCTAATGCACTGCCCTTGTGAGTAGTTTTTCTATCCTTGTATTCAGTGCTTGCCACAGTCTCACTAATGCTGCTTTTCACCAAGAGTTTTGCTTCAGCAAAGAAAGCAGGGTTGAGACTGTACAAGACACCCATACAGGGGAACAATGCTCCTTCTAAGGACAAGAAGACATTAGCAAGCTTATCAAGCAAGAGCTGCTGCTGAATTCTGACCAATACACACACAGCTGTATGCTGGAAATATTTTAATCTACACAGCTTTATGTGTTCCCATCATTCAAACTGCCTCCAAAGTCACTGCCTCCAAAGTCACAGCTGGTGAGGCAAAATTGGTCATTTTACCACAGTAAGGCAAATGATGCAGTCCAGTGAGTACCACTGAACCTTTACAGGTTAAACTGTGAACCTAATTATAGATCATGGACAATAGATATTTGTTGATAATGAGAAAAAAGAAATATTTCCATTTATGATAAAATTTTAAAAACACATCTACTATTTTTTAAAGTACTTCAGTAAACATATTCATAAATTTTACCAACAGAAATCACAACAGTGCCCCCAACTACCAAACTGCAACTGATCAACACATCACATTGTTTCTAATGAGAAATTAGCAGATGAACAACCAACAGCTGTCACCACGTACAGGCTCTGACAATCACCACCCCCCATAAGCTGAACTATTCTTCTAGCCAGCTGAAGACACTCCAGTTCTGTTGACAGTTTCCTAGGTTTATACGCAGCTAGTTTTTACATAAAAATACACTCTTTGGGCATATTTCAAAACACTAAGCGAATAAGATTTCCTTGCAAAAGAAAAAGGATTATTTTATTAAAATACATGAATAATTGACAATAATTAATACTAAATAAATTCTCCTACAAGTTTAAAGTCCTGCCACTCCAGAGCAGGACTCTCCACCTTGTGTAATCCTCCAAAACTAACCAGGTAATTCTCAAAAGAGCTCAGAAGATTTCCTGATACACTTGGTTTGTGGCCCATTCAAATTAATAATAGGTGTTCACTGATCTGAAAGAAAATTTCAGGCCCTAAACACTCTCCTATTCATCTGTCTCCTACTAAAGTCCACTGAAGTTCAACTGACTTCCATTAATATATTTCACCAAAGCCCACACAGCAGGAAGCAGTGTACTGTTATCAGCTCTGTGAAGTTAAGATAGAAACTGTAGAAACTTGGAAAAGTGGAGAATCAGTACAAAATCATCCCTGTATATAGAGGCAGGCCTTTGAAGTTGATTTAGGTTGCTTTTTTAGCGGAAAGATATCACCAATCTGAATGCTGCTACATGGAGCCTCCATGGCTGGGAACTACAGCAGCAATTGGCTCAAAAGACCAGGAGATCAGAAAGAACACAGGATTTACAACAAAACTGGAAACTATATCAGAAGCATGGGACTGTGGCAAAATAGCTCCAGGCCCAATGCAATTGTCTGCCAATTGAGTAGTCTAGGGGGATCCAAAGTGCACCAGTCTAGAAACATTTCAGTGCTGCACTTTGTAGCCAATGTCTCATGAAGCAGATTACTATGATTTTCCCAAGTTTGGGCCCACCGTCCCATTACTCCTCACTGGTATTTTCCTTTTCCCTCTTTCAAGCTGAAGTTCAGTCAATGAGCCCTTGCTAGCTCCTCTGCTAGAG